CCTGCTGATTTGATATCTTACTAGATGCCTAAATGGAGCTCTGTTTTTGTGCTGCCTGAGCATTGATATTCCTACAGGGTTTGAACTTGTGTGCTAAAGGTAACCTGAGTTTTGCCTTCTGGTTAAAAAGGAATCCCTCCCTGAGAAGCATGGATGTCAGCAATTCTCCTGCAAGATTTTAACTTAATTTTAAGCTCTTTGCTGGGCTAGGCTGAGTGCTGAGAGGTGCTTGCCCTAATCAGTACTTGTACCATTTCCTTAATTACTGTCAGTTGACTTGATTGCAAAGGGAGCAGTTTCTGTAGCACTCCTGAGACAGACTGCAAGCATGGCTTGATGCAGATAAAAGATAGGACTGTTCTGACCTTCCCTTCTGTCCTCTCACAGGATCCAGCTGCTGAAGCCAGGATGAAGGTTGCCTGCATCACAGAGCAAGTGCTTACTCTGGTGAACAAGAGGCTTGGGCTGTACCGTCACTTCGATGAAGCAGTGAATAAATACAAGCAGTCAAGGGACATCTCCACCCTCAACAGTGGCAAAAAGGCTTTGGAGACAGAGCACAAGGCCCTGACAAATGAAATAGCCTCTCTGCAGTCCAAACTGAAGACAGAAGGCTCTGACTTATGTGATAAAGTAAGAAATTCCAATTAATTTTTTTTAAGCTCCCCTATTCTTGGCTCTGTTAAGGTGAGTTTTAATTTGGGGTTTAGTTTCTGCAGCCTGTGTAATTATTCTTTTTTCCTCTGAAAATGGCTTGCTCTTTTTGGTTATTCTCTTTGCAGTAGTCTTAGTTATGCAGGCCTGTAATTGCTGCTGGTAAAGCTTGTGCAGTTTCTTAAACAGCCCTTGAACCAGTTGCATGAGTACAGATTAGTGCTTTTGTAACACAATCTTGATGCTTCTCATTGAGCTCGTGGCAGTGACACTTAAGGAAAAATGGAAACTATCAACACTGACTTTGCTGACACTGACACCAACCAAACAAAAATCTCCCTCATCTCTCACTTTCTTGTACATGTAAGTTTGGTGCTGACAATTTGGTAATGTGATGCTCCTCAGGGGGTATTTCACTGTACCACGTTGAAGGCCATGGCACAGTGAGCACACACCCACTGTCCTTTCCTCGCTTCACTGTATTTCAACACCTACCTTGAATCCCAAGTGAGGGACACTTTAGTCTAAAAGGTCCATTCAACCAACAGCCACCTTGCTTAATCTGTTACTAACTCAAAGCGCAGCTCTGTCATTACAGACCTGCTTCTCACACACCATTAACTGTAAGGACACAGCTCCCAGCTGTCACAGTTGTGGTTTAGCTTGAAGCCTTTAAAATCTATCATGAAATGCTCTTAAAAAATCGTTGCACCTGTCTCCTGCCAGTACAGCTCCTGGGTCTTTCAAGCCCCTCTGTCTGCACTGCTTAATTATCCAGCTGTGAGATGTTCATAATGTGAGAGAGGTGACTGCTCAGGAGGCAATATTCAGGGCCTGGAGATGGTTACACTTAGCACTGACTTCCTCTTACACTCCAGTTTTACTGTCTCTTCTATTCCAGCTTCACGGTATTTTTGCCTCCTCTAATACTCCCTTTGTTTCTCACTCCCATAAGGTAAGCGAGATCCAGAAGCTTGATGGCCAAGTCAAGGAGCTTGTTCTGAAGTCCTCAGTGGAGGCTGAGCGGCTGGTAGCTGGCAAGCTCAAGAAGGACACCTACATTGAGAATGAGAAGATGCATTCCAACAAGCGCCAGGACCTGGTCACCAAAATCGACAACATCCTCGATGCGCTCTGACTCAGCAACTGGGTGAAGGGGAAAGGTGTGAAGGGCAAGAAGAAATCTGGGAGTGGGTACTCTTAGAGCCAAAACTCCTTCCCAGCAAAATTAGGGGAAAAGTTGATGTGAAATGTCTGAAAGTATGTTTTGTTTTTAGATTTTTCTGTAGAGCCTGTCTGCTCAGCAGCGGGTGCTGTGCAAGGGACCACAACGTCAGGCGGGTTGGGTGGGTAACAGGGTTTCTCTACCAGAGGTGAGACTGGGCCAGGTTACAGAACAGTCTCCCCCTGTCGGTTTTCCCTGTGCTCTGACTAACCTCACACAAACACCGAGGCTGAGCACAGACACGCTCGTGACAAATCTGAATGTTGCATCTCCAGAAAGAATAAAGACACTTTTGTTCTACTTTGAAATAAAACCGCCCCAGTCTCGCCTCTGTATGTTGTGGGGTGGAGGGAGGCAGAGGGGCTGGGTGGCCCTGTCCTGTCCACAGCCCTAGGGAGCAGAGTTCAGCCCCCACTGCTCACACCTCCCATCAGCTGTGGCCTTGAAGGCAGAGCTCTGCCACCCTGCAAGGCCCCAGACAGAGCAGAAAGCCAAGCCCTCAATCCCTAGGGACATGCACACACCTACACCCTTATGGGCAGAAAAAACATAACCACAGTCCCTCCTGCCAGCCTTCTCCATGCCACCTGCTTTCCTCCTGCACGTGACAAAGGTCCCTGTGGCCCTAGTACTACCCAAGTAGGCCCTTCCTCATACCTGGTTAAAAGTCCTCCTCTCCTGGGATGCTTTTCTCTTTTTAAAGGATGCAGATGGTAGGAAAGTCCTTTGCCCCAGGTCACACAGCTTCCCACGTCAGATCATCAGCTGGTGGTCCCAGAGAGATCCTTAATTTTCCATTCCACCTGGCAGAGGAGAGGTAGTGTCACACCTCTTTCCCATGTCCCACCTCTGCCTGACAACCCTTGAGGGCACAGTGGAGCTCCCCATGTTTGTCAAGTCAAAGCCAAATGGGGTTGATGGTATATCTCTGTGTATTTCCCTTCCTATCCCATGGGTTCTGCTTGATCAGGATACACTTCAGGCCTCACAGCTGCTGGACAGCTTCAGATCCTGCTTGTTAATGGAAGCCACAGCTCCAGAGACAGCAGCTATGAATAGGCTGGATGAACACAGAAAAAAAAAAAAAAAACAAACACCAAAAAAGCCTCTGGTCCCTGAGGAGGGCTGCCCCAATTTTAGAGGCTAAGAATAAAACAGCCACTGCAAGAAGAGATGCTTGCTCCTCTCCCTGCACCTCCCTTCTGCTGCCCTCCCCAGGTGGCCAGAGTCTCCCACATCAGGGACCCCAAGCCCCTCTGCTCCCAAAGCTGCTCTTTGGGGACAGCTGTGCAGGAAAAGGGCCATTCAGGGCAAGTGGCCCAGGGATATCTGTGCTCTGGAGTTCAGTGTGGGTCCTTGGAGTAGGCAGGAGTCCCCTGGGAGACAGGCTCTGGCTCCTACACACTTTTAAACTGGGTATGAAATGGGATAGAGACGTTGCCTAAGGTTTAATTTCCCAAAGGACTCCCCAGACTTTACCTGCTCCCCTCTGCCAGCAACTTCCAGGGCTGCTGGAGAGCAAATAGGCACTCTGCACCCCAAAGCACACAGCCTCCCTCCTGAGCCCCACAAAAGGAGAAGCTGAGTCTCCACAACCTGTGACAATAGCCCACAGCAGCACAAACAAAGAGCAGGGAACCCTTTCACAAACAGCAGCAGAGTGACCTAGAAACCACGGCAGTTTCTGGGTTCCTGCAAATTTACTCCTGAGAGTAAGCTAGAAAAAGGAGGAAAAAATCCACAGCACCTACAAGGAGGTGGGGGAGAGCCAGAGCAACAGCACCTGATGGCAGCACACTGACCCATTAGGGCTGCAGCTGCTTGCCTCTGCCAAATTTAAGGGGACAGCCTCCAATCTGTGGGATGGGGGAAAAATGGTGGGGCCAGAAAGGCAGCCAGCTGTCCATCTGCCCTCCTCCCCCTCAGCTCTGAGGGCTCGAGGGGATCTGACTTCAAAACTATTCTTGTGGCTGATTCTATAAACCATAAATGAACCCAAGGAAGTTTCAAAATTACCTCCTCGCTCAGAGCCCAGTGAGAAGCAGAGAGGCAGCCACTTGCTAGATCTGTGTCCCAAGGTGCCTGCTGAGGGTGGACATCATAGGAAGGAGCTGCTGCAGGGCAGCCTGACAGAGTCCCCACTGGCAGAGCCCTCGGGGAGCTGAGTCTCTCCTCCATGTGTCTCAGGCTGTGCTTGTTTTGCTGCTGCATCCTTCAGCCATTGTCACCATGCTGGCCTCTGCCACCAGGGCCAGTCCAGCAGGTCCTTGGCCAGGGCTGGTCTTGCTGGCACCATTTCTGGCTGGCTCTGGGATGTCTCTGAACTCAAGCTGCTGCTTTCCAAGGATATCTCATATTTCTTCCAGGCTTGGCAGCTCGTCAAATGTGAGGAACCAGAGCCAGCAAGTTCCCAAAGCATCACAGTCAGCACTGGGCAGGGATGGAGGCATTGCCACCAGGGAGTTCAGGCATGAGGGCTCCTCTTCTCAGCTGTGCTCAGGGCCATTTAAACTGAGACCTGTGGACAGAGTAAATCCCAACCTGATGGAGCAGACAAACTCCATCATCCTGCTGCCTCTGAAAACAGTCAGACCTTCAAGAAAGGGCTGAGAGCTGCAAAAGAACTGGACCTTTTCTCTTCAGCTCTGCATAGAAGCTTTTCCGGGCTAGGAAGTTCACTTGCAATCGTGTACAGAAAAATACTGTGTGGAATTGGGAGGCATCTGCCAGGGGAATTGCAGAGCAGCAGAAGGAAAAGAAAGAGTCAGGATCAGATAAAGGAGCCCTGGAGACCCTTCAGCACACCTCCAGCAGATTAAAATCTCACAGGTAATTAAAGCTGAGCCCTGCTGGGACTCAGTGATTAGTTCTGCTCCTTTGCCGAGTTTGGAACCAAAAGGTTGGATGGCCTAAAATTTGCCTCCACAGCAAAGGGAACAAAACAAAGAGAGAAGGAAAAAAAACCAAACCAGTCTACATAGAAGAAGGAAAAGGAAACCACACAAATGCAAGATTTGCCGGCAAAAGCGAGCAGCCATGATTGCAGGTCCCCAGCTCAGCCACCTGCCTCGCACGGGGTGACACCAGATCCCCCTGCCTCCCCACTGCTCCCCATCTCACCTGGGTGCTACCTCAGCCCAGGCTTCTCTTGGGTGTCCCGGGCAGCCAGAGAACAGCTTCTCGTTCTTTAACTTCTCACTGACAGTCCTCCGAGGGAAACTACAGAGCTGAAGACATGCTCAGGAGGTCCAACCCACCTTCCAGTGGATGCTCAGACTCCAGAGCTGGAGAGAAAAATGGGGTTTTATAGCCGGGTGCAGCATGACTCCCACCCACAGCCCTAGCCAGCCCTCATCCACCCTCAGTGGGTGGGGATAGCCCAGCACTATTTCTAAACCTTTGACCCTGTCTCCACTTCCCCTGCTGACACCTCCCCTGTGCTCCACAGGGACCAAACACCTTTTTCTTATTTGTTTTGTTTTATCCAACAAAGTGAAATCACCAGGCTAAACTCAGAGCAAATCCTGCAGGTCTGCAGTGAGCTCTGCTGGTGCCACGTCCCCGTATGGCCCAAGGAAGCACCTCCAAAAGCACACCCAGTCCATCAGTGCCTCTTCCAGCTGACCTGACCCCACCGCCTCACAGGGAGGCATGGAGAGCTGGAGCACGTGCTGAGCACCATGAGATCAGCCAAGCTCTAATGCTCCCCTCTGAGGGGCAGCTTCAAGGAGCACATACCCACCTGCACACCCGTGCGTGCCCCCCACCAGCACAGGGGATTTTGATAAGCTCCCAGGTTAAACAGCATCCATGGTCTGTCACCCTTTGCCTGTCCACAGGCCACCCCAGCAGCAGGGCACAGCTCCTGGGGCAGCCCAGCCCCATGGCAGACCCCACAGCCACCCACCTGCATGTCTTCATGGATGGACAGAGAGGCTTCCCCATGTGCTCTTTCACCACTTCCCTCCTGGCTGCGTGGGTTCCGCTCCGCCCAGGCTGCCCAGCACCCTCTGGGGGCTGCAGACCAGTGACCAGGGAGGATGTTTTGTGGTCACCCTGATCTGCTGGCTGGCTGAGAGGTGCCGAGGTATCTCCACATTCCCTCTTGCAGCTCCTGGCTCCTTCCCCAGCACCAGGCGGGGCTGCGACCCGGAGGAGGACCATGTCCCACTGGATGGCAGCACCTGGAGAGCAACGCAGAATCCCTGCAGCACCAGGAGGGATGGGACCAGGTCTGCATGGGGCACAACCCCATACCACCATGGCTCCTCCCCACTAGAGGCCGACGGTGCCCAGGGAGGTCACCCCACCATGTTGGCCACCCCGGCCCCGCCGCCTGGGGGACCCATTGTCCTTCCAGCGCCCAGGCCAGCCCGGGCTGAGGGAGGCACCAGCCACCTCTCTCCATTCATTATTTTTAATTTATTTTTTTTGTTTGCTTTTTGGGTTAAATGCATTATTTTTTTTTCCCTTTCCTCCTGTCTCGCTCCTCCTCGTCCAATTTGTCTTCGAGGTTGACACGAGAGAAAACCCCAAATGACAGCGCCTGCCCGGCACAGTTTTACCACAGTATCCTGAAAAAGGCATCTGGTGAGCTGATAGTGCAGGGGGGCTCCGGGCGGGAGCCCCTGCCGGAAGCAGAGAACTGGCGGCGGTTGAAGGGCCGATGCTTCAGTGCGGGCAGCAAACAGGAAACGTCCCCCGGGCCCAGGGAGCTCCTCCGGGGCCACCCCAGGGCCTGGAGGCACCACCACCCCACTGGGGCCATGATGGGCCCAGCAGGACCCCCCTGCCCAGCCCTGCTGCCATGGCGAGGCAGGCCCCACGTCGCACCTCGGAGCTGCCTCCCTCTCCCCAGGGCGCAGCGTGGCCGGAGAGGCTCTGCCAGGGCCGCGTGGCCCAGACCTGGCTCTGACAGCTTTGGCTCAGGGGCTGGCGGGATTGTCCCCTCCAGGTGCCGTGGCTCAGTGCCACGGGTGTTTGGGAGCATGAGAAGACGAGGGCTGCACGTGGTGGTGGCCCACGTGGTGGAGCCATGAGATGCAGAGCATCATCTGGCCAGCAGGGATGCAGCTGCCTCAGCCCTACAGCCCACGGGCTGGAGAAAGCCAACCTGAAAGAAGAGCAACCCGAGAGCATCCCCAAGCCTCTGAGTTCCCCACGGCACAGGACACTCAAAAGAGGGGACCCTCCTCCTTA